AGGAATATATGGATCAATTTTAATTGAATAATCTATGGTTTATTTGGAAAAATTGGTGATTTATTCCGTTCAGGTGTTTTAATCACTAAAAAATATATTCGATCATTTTATACGTAGATAACAACATTTTGGTTTAACAAAAATAATGAATATGCAATAATCTCAACTCAATCACAGGTTATCGAAATATATAAATGTAAAGTGCTAAAGTGTTATAAAGTAAAAAATATATCAGTTGATGACACAAATATCTATTTATAGATTTTAGAAAACAAACCTACACATATTCCAAAAGAGACTGATCAATTACAGTCCTGAACATCAATTAAAAGATTCAAAAAATCAATACAGATGAATTAAATATCATCCTATTTCACAAGTCAGTGGCTATCTGGACTCAACATTTAGGTGGATAATACGATAATGTTTGAAGAGAACGGCTCTAGGTTCGAATCCCTTGGTGAATATTATCAATAAAAAGATTCAGGCAACCAATATAAATGAATTGAAATCTATATTCGTTATAAAAAGTTAATCGAATAACAACAGAAAGAAAGAGATTTACACTTAAAAAACACAATACCTTTTGATGGAACTTAAACAAAACATATCCACTGATTTATTACACGAATTACGATATTTTCCTGTTACAACGAACGAAACAGGTTATCTTATTAATAATATAAAAATTAATGATACATTTTATTTTATATCAATTAAAATAAGTGGATAAAAACTGTGAATAAAGGGCTGAGAACGCTGGTCGGCGGCCTATACTCCATTAGGGGTAACAGGAGTAAGTAAGTAAGTAAAGAAGTAAGTATGAAAGAAATACCTTACAGTATAGCAAAATCATATGTTAATATTTGTAAAAAGTGAACAAGTACCTCTTACGTAAGAAAAGTGGACAAAATAATGTAAATTTCTGAATGTTGAAAAATCGATTTTCAATGTTCAGATTGCTAGATTAATTCATATCATGTTGTAAAATTACAATATTGACTAGTGTTTTAAAAGCAACAAGTTATATCAGTACAGTGATTGAGCAGTTTGAGTGGAGTTTGACCTGTACATCATTGAATTCCGTTCAGTAGTCGAGAGGTTGAACGTCCTTGTTTGAGATTGAAGGCACTTGATTCAAACCTCTATAGCAGAATTATAGATGTACACTGCCAATGAGTTCCATACTAGAATAAAACAACTGTTCAGTGCTTTCCGATTTTCGATGGTGATCTAAGATCCGTCTGTAATGTAAATACGAAAATAAGGTATATACACAAGGCAGAATTACAAAATATTCAATTTTATTTGATTAAATACTTCACCTCAAAAAGACAGTCATTCGATCAAGGTCATTTTGTATATTTGCTTGTTTGCACTACCTTATATTTTAATTCATTTCCATTAAAATATAGATATTCAAAGATGGGAAAAGTTTTTGAGCATTTTTATTCAGGAATTTAGTGAACTTCAGATTTGATTAAGTCAGCTTAGTTAATTTGTTGAATAAAATTAAAAAAACACACCATTTGTGAAGGACTACTAACGCGAGTAAATTCACATTCCGTTTCATGTGTGAGGATATGTAAACTGGGTGAATAAGTTTAGACCACATAATTCATGGTTGATTGAAGTTTACATGTGAGAATATATAAAAAATAATGTTAACTGATAAGCGTATGTAATAAATGACAATAGCAGACATGCAAGATATATGGAAGCTTCCTAAGCAAATTGAACAAATGTCACAGCATGAAAAAATATACTAGTGAGTTATCGTTATGGAAAGTGACCAGCTGTTAGACTGAGATGTTAGTTTATCCAAAGGTTCCTGTCAGTACCAAGGAATAAAACATAGGACATCGCCAACTAGGAATAAGAAAATACAATTAGTGAATGAGATGAAAAAGTGTCAAAAATTAAATTTTATTAAAAATTATCAACAGCCGCGTGTGGTGATCTAATTAAATATCTGAGTCACCTCTTCCTGTCATCTGGATATTTAAACAAGTTAACTGTTTTCTTGTTTGTTTTAACACATCATTATGCCTACTAGTCGTATAACCGTTAAGATGCATTTGTGACAAATTTAGGACATTCGCTGTATAAGTTACAAAAGAGCTCAATCAGAGACATCGTGATTCCTGGTAATATACATCGAAAAGAATATACATTGTTCAAATGTCGATTCCTGAACTGCTGACATCTAACTGGCAACCACTCAATATTTATCATCAGGGTTGACCAAGAAATAAGGAACTTGTTGAAATACTTTGTGCTGAGAATTATATAATGTACCAAAAATGTAATATTGAATAAAGCCACTAATAATAATAATAAAATTAACTTATCTCAAAGTGATATAGCAGCGATAACAAAATCAATGCAGTAAAATATTGAAGTTCCAACCCTCCACTCATTTACTAGGTACAAACATTTTATACTTTCCTTTGAACAATACTGTTACAAGAATACGGAAAATGCTAGATCGCCGAAACCCGAGATAGGTGGAAGGTAGTTCAAATCTAAGCCCAGTGTAACTGCTCAATAGTCATAAACTAAAAGGAAGGTGTTGAAAACACCCAATCATGACTTATTTGGTGAAGTTATGTTATTTAAACAGTTGTGCATGTAAGAGTTAAATTTTATTACTAACTGATGTCTGATAGACAACAATTAGATACCTCAAAAAAGAATACAGATATCTCGTTCAAATTTGAGATTCCTCGATAGCGTGCACTGAGAAAAGTAGCTCAAAATACTGAATTTTTGTTGGGACAATGTGGTGATATACTAGTCCTAGTACTTTGTACTGATGTTTAGTCATACTCCAATCAGTATTTTTGAAGCTTTACATAATGGAACTGCTCACAGATCAGTTCAGCAACAGAAGCCTAGTTTCCAATAGTAAATCCATTGAATTTAGTGGCAATAAACTGATGTCAGTTGACCACAATTTCGAAATACTTTTGTGATTCATTGAAACTGAACAATACAATCACATATGAATATATGATCCTAATAAAATAATTTTGCGTCACTTCAGTATCTCGCAGTGGCTTAGTTTCGTTAATCAATCACCTTGTTCACCGTTAATATATAAATCTTAACGGTGTTTGAAATCAGAAGGCAATAAGAAACGACGACTACAGTTTATTAGCGGATAGTACGTATAACAAAGCTATAAGCACATGCATCCAATTTGAAACAGAGAGGCGAATGTATGTGGGCGAGCAAATATACAGGAAAATTTATAATCAAATCGAATAAGGGCATAGCAAGGTAAAGCCAAGGCGAATAATCGGATTTGAGTACATATATACATAAGGAAGAGAATGATTCATCAAGCGATAATTAAGTTACCAACACTTTAGCTAGAGTCTGTAATATGATCAAACGTAAACGTTTATACAGATATGGTAGTGATCATAATAGTACAAAGAAATATGCGAATTGTTACTGTTCGAATAACATTGTCTGTTAAGTAAGTTAATAAAAGCGCTTAACGAAAATTAACCTTAATCGGAATTGATTGTAGGAGAGTTCTACAATCTGCATATATTTAATCATAACTATTTTAAAAGAGATAAATTAGAAACTTGTATATCGAAAATAAAAATGGCACATTTAATTTTATGGCATCTTTTTTCCATATTTATGAGGTTGTCCTGGGTTCGAATCTCGCGGAGGGCGGGATCGAGGGTGCGCACTGCCGGGGAGTCCCATACTAGGACGAAACCGCCGTCCAGTGCTTCCAGGTTTTCCATTGTGATTTCAACTATTCGAATAACTTGTTAAGTCCTAGTTAGCAAAATCGGCGAGACTATAATTTATGGACGAACCAAGCAGGTATAAGATAACAGATCTTGGAGTTTGGCGCGAAATTCATTTTTCCATAGAGTTTTGGCATTATAGCTGGTGTCAGTTTGTAATTAAAACCCTAAATCTAATTCCTAACCTTAACAATCAACTGTAAATCATAATTATAATTCTTCACACAGGTTATCAACCCCTATTTGGTCCTAGTTATGAGGTGGTCAGTTTGGCGTTTCTCGAAGGTCGTCCATAAATTATAGTCTCACCACAAAATCAATTAACTATCGATTTGATCAGTACTACATTAAAATGTGTACATTCTAAACGAATTCCAAACTAAAACTAGAATATCCTTTTCTGTGAATACTAGTTTTTAATTGTTTTCTTTTTATCACGCCATTTATATTTAACTCACGTGAATAAAGCAAACATTTTAGAATAATACAATTTTCTTCTCATCACTAAACCACTTTAATAAACTATACCTACCAATCATGTATATGATCCATTTTCCTTCATATGTAATCTATATATGTATATATTAAGAACAATTTAAACAATGACAAAAGTGTTGTTGACTTGAAATACCAAACCAACAAAAAAAAATTGAAAAAAAACAGTAAAATTTAATTATCGATCGTTTATTTTGTTTTTTATTTGATCATGGAAACCATTCGTTTTACTGGAAATAAAACGCTGGAAAACAAACAATAATAACCATTGATAAGTATATCAATTAAACCTAAATGACAAAAAAGGTGTGAATTAAAAGAAAAAAAGAATGAGATGAATGGGAATTTTTAAATTGTCACAAGTAAATGAAACACTATTGATTATTAATGTTATTGCTATTATTGTTATTATTATTATTATTCAATAATAAGAAGGCTGCTATTTATTTATTGATTTAATCATTATAATTGTAAAACTATTTATGAATACGTTCAAACAAACAAACAAAAGAAAGAAAATAATTAAAACAATCGAAATGTAAATAATCAGGTTCAATGAATTGTGATGAAAACAAATCGTTCAATAGAGTAAACAATTTCCCACTATACTCAAAATTTCTTATTTAAAAATGAAGGCAGAAAGAAAACAACATATTGTTTGACTTCGATATAGTAACAAAAAAACAAAAAAAAACAAAATAAATAAATATCTGTTACATGCATATATATATATATATATATATATATATATATATGTGGTTGGAACGTTTAAGCAGTAAGTAGTTAATGGTATTACACAGTATATTTACTGGTTGTTCTCAAATTTTCTTCTCTGATTTTTCTTCCAATTAATTGTAAGAAAGTATATATATTCAGTAATGAGAATAAAATGGCGCCATTTGTGTGACTCGCTATTTTGATTTAAGAAACAAAAAAATATGGAAGGATATTTCGATTAAATGTAAATTAACAAATGGATTTTGAAGTTAGTTTTACAAGTTCTTCTAGTATACATATCGAGAGATTCGTTCCTCAGCAGGAATGAAATAGAAATGAATAGGTATATAAAAAAAATCAATTAGAGTAATAATTCATTTCAATTATGATGTAGGCTGAGGAACTATATATATGACTAGAAATGTAAAGATACATTGTAACTATAAAATAAAGAGGAGAGAAAAGCAAATGTTACTCAAGACAAAGGAGTTAAATAAAAAAAATTTTAACTAGGAACTGACAAATATTCTCACCACAAATAAACATATTTACATATAGATCCATCTTTTATTTATGATCGAGTATATTGATTCCCAGGGAGTATCATCATAAGATTTCTAATTGTTATTTCAATTAGAATAATTTATGATCATAACTCTGGCAATAATTTATTGACGCTTAAATATAATTCATATTAAGCTGTATTGTTATCACTTTTTTCAATATTTTTAATCTCATCAGTTATATTATTGAATGAAAATGGTTTAAGTTCAGGAGGACGTGTAGGTGAAGATAATGATGATGGTGATGAACTTGATGTTTGTAATTTAGGTGGTAATTTATCTTGTTTATCAATAGAAATTGATTTTAAATGTTTACATTGTATTTCTGCTAATTTGTCTTCATCAAATGTGAATGTTGATAAAGAGTCAGTAGAATTAGTTGATTTCTCCGCTGTTGAATTACTTTTATTTAATTGAAGGCGACGTAATAAATGAAGTACTGCTGTTGCATTATAAGCTTTCTGGATGAAATAAATAAATAAAAATGAACAGATATGTATAGAACTAATTCAATAATTAACGTAGAATTTTCTTTATAAACCAATAAAACATTATCATAACTGTGGGTAGAACTAATCACCATGAATTGACTTTCGAAGTAAACGATGTAGAAAATCAAACCTACATAAAGTTGTATTAGTAATCATTAGTAAATAAAGAAAAAAATCATCTTCAAATTTGTGAAGATGTTCTAGACATAGCTGGTAAGAATCTGCATACTAGACAGCTTTTAAATTTGACCCCATAATAGACATCTCCAATTAGATAAATGGATAAGTAGTCAACTGAAAGAAGACAGAAATGAGGAAAGTATTTCTAAAAAACGCTATGGTCTCTAGTTGTTAAGCATTACAGTGATCGATATTTAACCGATGTCTCAGAGAAGCTGCACTCAAATTCGAGAGTCAATCAAGGTATCTAGAATGGAATTTGAAAATGTTCTATGACTTTTCTGTTCATAAACGATAATCAAACCAGAAAAAAATTGCTTAAAATATATTCTGCTATGTTTAGTTATGCTATACAAATCAAATACAATGTTGATACCAAACGCTGTTAAATTATATTAATAAATACACTTAAGCGACAAACAGACAAAATCGTTGCTCAGGTTTGCATAACATTAACCAAGTAATTAATTGGTCATGATAAATTTATGATTTCATAGGCAACTTGTCAAACTATAAATGTATATATATTTCAACTTTATAAAATCAGAACCTTATATTGTGTAAATAACACAGTTCCAGGGAATTGTATATTCGAAATAAACAATTAAAAAAAAGAAAAATATTGTCCCTTTCACATATATACATTAAACTTTCTAATATGAAGCATTATGATTAGTTTGCTCTTAATCTAATGAAATAATTGTTGATGTTAGTTAGTCTTAAATAAAGATCAAGTAAGCTCTGAATCTAGATTATCTCTGAAACAAACAACCAGAAGTATAATGCTAATTACTTTACTAAAAACCCTTAATAAATAAAGTATGAAAATAAATAAACCTAAAATACTTTAAGTGTTGTTATTTATCAAAATATTTTATAATAAAAATTGAATACCTACTTTCCATCGTTTTACTGCTAAGAAATTTTTACGTATCTGTTCACTGACAAAAGGATAAAGATCCCTATCAAGTGCTGTATTACTAGCTATCCATGGATGTTCTAAGGCTTGTACACAACTATAGCGTTTTTTTGGATCTTTTTGGAGTAGATTACTAATAAAATCTTTGGCTGAAAAACAAAAAGAATTTGAAAAAATAATAAATGGAATGTTAAACTTGTTTTTTACATGAAGTTTAAAAGATATCTGTTCAACGTTATATTGATTGACAAACCAGTTGAATAGTAAACTTGATGACAGACTATGTTCTGAAGATGAAAGTGAGGGGAGAATCTTCCCGAAACTTAGCTTCAAGAGGGTCGAAACAGACTGGATTTTTCAATTAAAGGAAATATTGAAATGGACGTCTTGCCTTTTCGAATAAAATGAAATTCCCAGTACGATATTCAATTGCGGATGAATTCTCGACTTATGTTACCTCGACTCTACCTACCACTTTATATGTACATAAATTGAAAAGACAGAAATGAAGTGTCCGAACATCTGAGGACATTCCACAAGAGAACAGATTAAAAATATACAATGTTTTCATTAGTGTAAGCGCCTGTCACTTTCTCAGCAGTAAATAGGACGCTGACCTTTCAAAATTAATAAAACAGCCCTTTCAAACTTAACACACTCTGCTGAAACCGTTGTGTATCTGGAGAAATATAGTTAGTAGTCTTGTACAGCCTTGGTGACCTCGTTTAAATAAGTTCGTTACATAACATATCTTTCCATGATCTCAATCATTATTTTTTTGTTTTTTATTTGAGTTAGTCAATTTTCAAGTATTAAGTAAACTATGACATAAATCTTCGAATTGAGAAATTTTGTTTCCACGCACTTTTTAGTTTGCTTTTACCTTTGGAATATTCATGTATTGAAGCTATGAATAAGCACACGTTTGAACAGTGATTAACTCTTTCACAATTGTTTTGTGTTATAGTTTCATAATTGCATCTCAGACTCAATTTTATTCAAGACTTTTCTAATATAAAGTATGTATATTTATCGCATTTTTTATTGATTAATTCTACTGTTTCTAAGTTGTAAACAACTTGGAAGTATCTACGAGATGAATGAATTTGTATTATTTAGCTATGACCATTGTTTTTTCTTTATTCAGATTTGTTGTTCAATTTCGCAACTGTTACTAAAATAATATACCACTTGTATGTTTTTATTACTCAAAAGCTGTATCTGCCTGTTCAACATATTTGTTACTGACTTTTGAAAGCTTACTAGTGTTTGAACTAGGATTTCTACAATGAATTAAATTCATAATCAATCATTAATAGTGTAAAATATTAGTGGAACTGTGTACTAAATCAATTTGGTTCTAAACTGACAATAGACTACCATACATTTCAACAAAAATTCCATTAGATAGAATGATCGTGCAAAAATGATTACCAAAGTTGAGCATAACTTTATTTTACTACTCAATTAGTTCACATCATAAGCATTAGAACACTATCTATAGACGGTCTGTATATTCACGCATTTATCTTGATTTTAAAAAAATAAACTGCTGGATAAACGATAATCGAGCGCAAACAAAAAACATAGGTATGATAAAGTACAAACAAGGTGTCAAACTACGAAATCACTGGATGTTTATCTGACATGATCGCCTTTTTTTGCCTCGATTAAGCAAAAGTTACAGTAATCTGTCTGTCTAAAAACTGTAGTCACATTAATTATCATAACTTCGAACTACTACGGAATTGTTGTTCTTTCTTAGTTCATGTTCATTATTAGTATTAAATGGATTGTAAATTTAATAAGTACTATTCTACATAGTCTAATTAGGTATAATAGAAGAAAGAAAAAAAGAAAAGAAATAGACTAAAAATCTGTTTCTAAAATTACCTGAGTCAGATATATTATCCCAATACGGTGAATCAAATTCATATTCTGCCATTCGTATTTGTCGAAACAATTCATGATCATTTTCATCATAGAAAGGTGGATATCCACATAATCTAATATTTTATAGTTTAATTTGCATAAGGTCAATTTTAATAGAATATAGAAAAGAGGTGAACTAATATTAAAATAAAGTTTAATTTATATATTTCACTATAAAAAATATACATTTACGTTTATTAAATGTAAACGAGATACGTACTAAAGATTATGCAAAGATTTGCAATAGTTACACTTTCAATCAATCGCATCATTAACTATGACATGATAAAAATGTATTAATTCCGCTATCTTTTAGAGAGACGTTACTTGCAAAGTGACCTTAACGAAAAATCTATTATTTAAAATCATTTAAACTGTAAGATTTTCGTAAGCATTGAACTATGTATTTTGAGTTAAACACACTGAAAGTATATTTTATTTACTTAGATGTATCTATGATCAATACAGTGGAACACTAGAATTAATTATCAACTAGCTTCTTTTCAGGTTTATGTTTGATAAATCCGTAAGTTGTATAGTCATAAGAAATGTGTTCAAATAATTACAAAGGGCTGATAAAAGTAACAACTATCTATATGGAATGGTGTTAATTACGCAACATGATGTAAGATCAATATTTAAATGTACACTTTACAGTAAACTGAACAGAATTCTTCCTACAGACTCCGTCAACTGAAAAGGATGTTATACTTCAACAAGAAAGTATAATAAAATTTAAGAGTGACACTAAGTGTGCTTCCTGGTTAGAAGAGGGGTTAAGTTGCATCAGAAATTCACTTTATCTCCACGATTCCATTTCTACTGTTCTTATTGATTATTACTAATTATAATCTATATTTCTTATCAGCTTTCGAATTATTCATATTGATAAACAATAACTTGTTCCAATTGTATTTCAAGCTAAGCAGACGTTGTTAGTTTATTCAATAATGTTTAGTTTATTTGCTTTACATACCAATCAGCTTTCATTGTTTATTATTATTCGTAGTTTAGTTATCACCGCATCTAAAGTACTTAGTAAAAAAGAATAATTATGCAATACGGGATAGATCAGACAGATTAACAATCTTTTTCTGAATCTTAATAAATTGATGTAGATAGTAAACAATTGTTTGATATATTTAATAGCCAATGTTTAATGTTACAATAATGGAAACATTCTATTTAATAAAGAGAAATTTCCAAGCTTCGGTACTGTATCAAACACAATTTTTGTTTGAGATGATGGAGATTTGTTATCTGAACTGTGTGGTTTGGTCGTGGAGCTTTCATCTACCTGAAGTTCGTGATGATGATGTCGTTCAGAAAAACAATGAAAGCTCCATAACCAAACCATCCAGTTCAGAGAAAAAACCTCCATCAAAAGTAATTCTTGTTTATGCAACATTCAAGTCAACATTTAACTAATAGGATTTATGTGAGTTTTCTTTAGATTTCAATCATATGATTTTCAACTAAAACACTAATAGTTTTAATGTTGTTTATTTAAAGAATAATTTGACTTTCAAATTAATCGAAACAAATGTACCATACATAAAATCTATTACTTTAGGTCTATCACTTCATCAGATTTAGGTCAATTGGTTAGTACCACACGGACTAGGAATTTTTCAGATATTTAAAGTGAAAATAAATTTACATGATGCCCTGCTACAGGATCAAAGTGTCTGACATTTGAATATTTAAACAATAAAAAAGCCCCTGGGTTCGAATCCCGGGGGGATCTGGGTGCGCACTGCTGAGGAGTCCCCTAGTAGGACAAAACGACCGTCCAGTGTTTCCAGGTTTTCCATGGTGGTTTGGCTTCAATTTACTCATGATTTCAACCATAGAAATTTATTCATTTACAAAACAACATTTATAACTGCAGACGAAACTATGACTACCACTAACATTATAAGTTAAATTATAGAAGGTAATGTAATATGAGGTTGGTTATTCAGTCAGTATACATATGTAACATAAATCATTAATTAATATTATTACAATTCTTTGAAGCTCACACATTCTACTTCATCGGGGATCCGAAAATCGGTAACATTAAGAAAATCTATATTTAATACTACTAAAACTATTTAATTGATTTCATTGTGTTTTTAAATCTCGGAAGAATTACAATCTTATAATGATCAAATTTTAGTGGGCTTCATTATATGAATTTCAATAGTTTCTGTCCAATATTTTACAAAAAGGCTTTAGAAAACTATTTCATTATTAAAACTATCAGATGGGTTTTGTGGATATTATAATAATTTCAATGGTTAAGATCATGAGTCAGTTGAAGCTAGACCACCATGGAAAACCTGGAAGCACCGGACGGCCGTTTCATCCTATTGTGGGACTCCTCAGTAATGCGCCTCCACGACCCCGCCCCCTGCAAGATTCGAACCCAGGACCTACTGATTTCGCGCGCGAGCACTTAACCACTAGACCACTGAGCCGGCATCCGACGGTTAATGTCTAACTTCAACTAACTATGCTTCAACTGACTCATGATATCAACCATTGAAATTACTATAATATCCACAAATCCCCTCCTGATATTATTATTGTCTCTAAATTGTAAGCAGCTGACAAAAATCCATAAAATAAATGAAATCATCTTATTCCACTGCATTCTTTGTTCTTGCTTTATTCATATTTATCACTAGTAAAAATTATATAATAGTTAATATCACGTAACTAAATACAAATGCTTACTAATCTGCAACTAAGAAAAGATTTACTGCTTAGAAACATGAGAATATATAACTAGTAATCATCTCGAATCGAAAAAAAATATTTTACTGCAACTCCAACAATTAAAAAGAACTTACAAAATGTATGCAATCACACCAATAGCCCAACAGTCTACTTCTTTGCCATAACCGGAACTGCCTTCATTAACACTAAGAACTTCAGGAGCTAAACAAATAAAATTTGATGAAACACTGTAAGTGCAAATCTTTAAGTTGTTTTTTATAAATTATGATAAAACCAAAAAGAAAGTTTCTACACTGTCAAACAGTAGGATCTAGGATGAGCGTTCCACTTTACTTGGGACTCACCAACTAGATACACTGGAACTCGTGTTGATATTCACAAAATGACTTTAACGCAGTTTCTTACGTTTTAAACTCAGCGCGTTATACACTTATTTACTGAGTCCAGAGAGTCTCTGGCTTATGCAACGAGGATGAGTTTTTGTTTATCTGTTAAGGTTTAGATATTCCCGCCGTCAGTGTTAAGAACTGCAATTTTTCAGTCACTATCACAAGTAGTATGTGACTGTCAGTAGTCCCTGACATCAACAATTGGAAGATTCAAACCGTTAGAAATAGATTACGAATAATTTGTTATCTGGCTGTGGTTTAAAGCTAGTGGGAAACATTGAATATTTTGTGACATTTTTTAAATGACATATTCACATAATAAACCATGATTTCTGATGGTTTAAATACTCTGGACAGCAGTTTCATGACATAATTGAGTGGTTTCATATTTTATTTGATTTTTTTTTAATATTCTTTCATTTCAAATTAGGTCATAGTCTAATATTTCTATGATATGAATGGAAGGGTTTTTAGTTGTTTTTGACCTGGAGAAATGAATTGAACAAATAATGGTTTCGTGACTTAATATAAAGTGTTTTTCAATAAATATTTGAACAGAAAGTATACTTGGTAATATCTACAGAATCTACCATTTGAAATCAGAAAATTAAAAGGCATCATTATTAAAGGTGGAGAGTTATTATTTTTATATTAGAAGTTATTAAAACAATTTAGTCAATTTTACTAAAGTTGGATAGTGGTTAAGAGCGGAGTCCAAGATAAACATTTCATCCAATTCGGGACAGGCTAACTGAGCGTGTCTGCAATTAAAATTTGATGGTGATATTGAGAATAATGAATATCAACAACAAGGAGATATAACTCATTACAAATTAGTCAATATACTTCAACTATAACATGAAGTGAATACTTCACATGATTAAGATTTGCCTACTCATTGTATCACGTAATAAAAATAGAAGCTAGTATTTGAAAGAAACCCTTAATGTTCATAATTAGATATGATACATCTAATCATTCTTACATAATCATAAAATGGAGTAGAAAATGAAAAAGATAACACATCAACTGTATTGTTCTAAATATTGTATATGGAGAACTGTAATTTCTACATAAATGAAAATTTTGTAACTAAAAATACATTCAATTTTACTAAAGAAGATGTGTGTTTTATGAGAGTTAATGAAGTATATTTCAAATTTAGAATAAACATGGATTTAAATAAACTATAGCTAACATAATGATATTAATAGTAATGTAGGCCGAGTAAACTGATCATTTACTCATTATTCATTACAATCATTCACATAAATGAAATACTGATCTCATTTCCCCATTTGAATATAAGAAATTGTTATACTTGATCAAATGATAAATCAAAATCAAAATATTCATAAGTTATTCATCATTATTAAAGGTAACTAAGAATTACCATTGAATGTAGTCAAATCACATGAACAATTCATCCTATAATGTATATGTAAGAATATTACTGACAATGTATATATATATATATATATATATATATATATATATATATATATATATGCATAAACTAATTTATGTAATATAATCTTAATGACATAAATAATATATTACTTTATATTGAGTAAAGTAATTTGATAGATATGCTTAACGAACTTGAAAATTCTTAACATTAACATAAGGATATATATATATATATATATATATATATATATATATATATATATACATGGAAAACTATGCTAATGTTCTTGAGTGAATATTCTTATTTCCTCTAATTGTTAATCATAGTCAATGTTACTTTTCTTTACCAATGTATAATAGATCAAAAGGAATAAAATAAAACAAATTAACATTTTAAAAGTATTATTAATTATATATGCAAATTGTATTAAAGTATTACAATTATAAATTTCATTAATTATAGTTTATGTAATAATGTTAATGATCACTAAATTGTCACTATAAACGACATGAACATTGTACGCCGATACTTTTTCATAGTGGATGAATATATTGAAATAATAATCATTTATATCTGAAGATGTTTTTGGTAGAAGGTCATAGGTATAATTAAATGGCTATAATTTCTGATAGTTATATTTTTAATGGTTCTTCATTTCCCCAGTTTCTTATGCCTAATATCATCGTATAATAAAGAAATTGTTGTAAATTATATATTGTGAATATATTTATGAGGAATATTTCTAGCTTTCTTAGTTCTATAAGACATCTCCTATCTTTTCAAAAAGCAGATATTGAATAGTAAACAATATCATGCTATTTAGCCAGTGATGTAATATGGTCACGTAAATCAATAATAAACTCTATTTATTAAAAACTGTGGGCGAAAGTTCTGAACTTAATTTTTATGTTAATTAATGTTTATCATCAAGACATATCTATAGTCTTAAGTGAATTTATGTCCACCTGAAAGATTAGAACTCGAGTCACATTAAGTTTTAGTCAGTAACGTTCCAACTCTTCTATGCAAGAACCCAACAAAGTTGTTTAGTACTTGAAAAATTAACAATGATTACTCTGTATAAACCAACTGACGGAGCAGAATTATTTTTTCCATAAGTTACACTTAGGAAAGTATTTATATGTTATGAAAAAAAATCGAAAGACTCGTTTTCAGTTATTTTCTCTTTACCCATTGAATTACAAAGATTTTCATATAAAGGTATTTTGTATACAAAACGTTTCAAACAACAACTATATACTTCATTTATCACCATTCCATTAATAAATGTATAATAACAACTCAATTTAACAATGGAACAATAAATTCTTCTTTATTTTATAAGTTAAACATCTAAAAATCACCTTTTTATAGAAAGATAACTACTTCATTATCGTTAGAGTTATCAAAAGAAAACATTTACAATCTTTTCAAACTGTGTACTGTTAAAAAAATAATTTAAATGTTTGTATGCTAAACGTTTACGTTTAATAAAGTCATTCTAACAACCAACTGAGATAAGATAAAAATGACTTCTTGAAGAAACTTTGTTTCTGAATACTTCAATTGCATTTTACTTTTATAATGCATATAGTTATATTAAAAAAAGAAGTAAGAACAGAGATATACATTGCATTCCAAACAAGTATTCTGGTTTTGAAGATAATGAACATCATAGATTATATTTCTTCAGATGATTATTGAAAACCTGAAAAGAACTAGATAGATTAAAGTTACTTATCAACGTATAATCATAATTTGGCAAGAGATTGAGCTCAAGACTTTCAGGTCTTTTAGAGATATTGAAACCATGACATAGTCAATGATGTGAAACTGAGTAATCTCAAATGTAGATAAAATAAATGATTAGTACTTCCCAGTTGTTTAATAGACCTGAAACTAAAGTCAGTTGTTTATGATGTAAACTATAGTCGAATCGGACGATCATCTAATCTGTATATATCGCCTCATTCCTTTTAGTCGTGTCCAGACCAAATCACGACAGTACGCATCATCATTGAACAATCAATCGAATGGAATTCGAAACTATGCATCATCTTCCTTGATTATGAGGAAGCATTTGACAGTGTGGATAAGAGAACACCATGGTGTGCCTGAGAAAATAGTGAACATCATACGGAATTCATACGACGGATTACACTACAAATCGGTGCATGGAGAACAGCTAACAGGCTGTATACTCTGTCCCTTTTTCTTTCTTCTGGTCGTCGATCGCATAATGAAGACCTCGAAATCTCAGGGAAAACACGGAATACAATCGACAGCTTGCATGGAACTAGACGATTTGAACTTCATAGATGACCTGGCCCTTCTATCTCATACACAAGAACAAAAATTCAGACGAACACAACTAGTGCAGCAATAGCCACTGCACCAGTATGCCTCAGCAAGATCCTCAAATACAACACTGAGAGCACCAACCAGACCAATCACACATGATGGAGAAGCTCTGTAACATGTGGAATATTTCACGTACCTGGACAGCATCATCGATGAACAAGGAGGATCTGATACAGGTATAAAGGTGAGGATCGGCAAAGCAAGGACAGAATTCCTACAGTTGAAGAACATATGTAACTCAAAACAACTGTCAACCAATACTAAAGTGAGAATCTTCAATATGAACGTCGAGACAGTTCTATTGTACGGAGCTGAAACATGGATAACCACTACAAACATCATCAAAGCAGTCCAAGATGCATCACGAGGCAAACACCAACTGGCAATCTTGAAGGAAACGAAAAAGAGGAAGGCCAAAGAACACATATGAACTGGTTAAATGATCTCTTTCCTATGCATAATCAGTTGTGTTTAAAATGTATTAATCAAGTAAATAACATTATTTCAGTGTCTGCTAAATATAAAGAAAACACGAAAATAAAGTAATTTTGAAGTGAACAATAACACCAGTGGGGACAATCGAATGTATTTGATCACAAAATTATAGAGCATCTCGATAAAATCTGAGAACCATATAGTAAATCGTTAATTTGCAAAATATCAATCCATCATATCAAACTTGACTGTTCCTGTCGCAAACATCAATCCATTGTCTCAGATTTCTTTGTTCATGCATTTGCGTTCCGTTCCCGTTCTTTCCTCATTGACCTTCTGCTGAAATACATTCTATGTCTGACCACCGTTATATACTACTTGTATGGGTATAAGTAACCCACACCACAATTCCATTCATGATTACTGAGGGAAATAAAACTACACTTGAATAGGCAACACGTATATGCAACAACTTTGGTATAATTAAAGACTGAAGAAAAATCAAAGTGAAAATATATAAAAAACATCAGACTTAAAGAATTAATCTATTAACGGAGCAATTGTACTCAACAACTAATACCTTGTTTCAATGGTTAAGATCATGA